TCCTTCTCATTTCTGAATAGTTATGCTCAAACTGCCCTTATTTCAAGCTTTAAATTTAGTTTACACGTAATTTTAAAGCTAGTCTTTATTTGACTGTTATACAAAACTTATATCTGGCAAAATTCCCCCTCATTTCTGGATAGTTATGCTCAAACTACCCTTATTTCAAGCTTTAAATTTAGTTTACACGTAGTTTAAAGCTCGTCTTTGACTGTTATACTAAAATTCCCCCTCATTTCTGAATAGTTATGCTCAAACTGCCCTTATTTCAAGCTTTAAATTTAGATTAAACAGTTTAAAGCTTGTCTTTATTTGTCTTGTACTAAACTTATATCTGAAATGTGTTTGCCCTTATTAAACGTTCTTGAGTTTAGCTTTGTGGATGGACTCGACTGTCTTACAGCATTTAAACCAGTGAGAGGTGCCTTTACTGTAGAATAACTCTGTTTATGAATAATAACCTGGTCTTTCTAAGTGGAGCTGCACAGGGCAGGTTCCTCCGCACGGTAAGGCGTTCATGCTTGACTTCCTGCATGTGACTCCGGGTGGATAATTGGCTATCTTTCTTCCCTGCAGGGTTATGAAGGTTCACTGATTAAGTTAACATCAAAACAGGTGAGGTGACGTCCATCAGTGCTTTAAAGCTATGTTACGTTTCCAGACAATGTCTATTTTTGTTTCTGGATACCCCCGTTTTATAGACTTGGATTTAATGAGTTAGTGTCTTTTTTTTTTTGTCTGCTAGATGGGATATGTGTCTTTAAAATGCATTTCCTTTTTGTTTTCCAGCCTGTCGGGTTTGTAACTTTTGACAGTCGTTCTGGAGCTGAAGCTGCAAAAAATGCACTTAATGTAAGCATCAAGTCGATTTTAATTCAATGCCTCTGTCATCTTTTGTAATTTCACCCTTTTCTTTTTTTCTTGTTTTTGTCAGACCTTTTTAATGGTTGTTAGATTTGTTCTAACATTTTGTTTAAACCCTGAAAAATGATGGGGACTTTTTTTCTTTCTTTTCTTTTTTTGTAAGTATTTCCCATTATAATTCTCGGTCAACCCATTTTGTCTCTTACAATTCAATGGCAGGGCCATTTTTGGAAAGAGGCCAGAATCCTGTAGCCTTACGGTAGTTTACTTTGACCTTGATACACATCCTTCTTAGTCTGATATAGCTTTCTTCATTTTGCATATCACTGCTTTACTGTAATACTTTGTTCTATAGCCACATTTGTAGTGTTATCTGGACACATCTTCAGTAGTGTAACCTCTTATTTTGTCACCCAGTAGCCCACATTGGCAGTATCTAACACTTCTATCTCTCATAGCTTAGCTTTCCTTATGAGCATCACCTCTTAGACACACCAGCAGCCACACACAAACACAAACACACACCGAAAATACTACTCACCTGCATGTGGGCACACCGCTTAGGGCACAACAACACAAGCAGGGATTAAACCACCTTAAAGAAAACGGCACTCAACGCCTCTCCACCGGCCCTTTTTCCTGGTCTCGCTTTCCTCCAGAGGCCGAACCGGATCTCTGGGTTCTCCGATTATCTGGTTCTGCCACGAGGAAAAAGAGATGCAAGCATGCCGAACCGGTCCAGAAACGGGTCCTTCAGATGTCTATTTAAGATAAGGCTGTTTTGCCTCCCCACCAGAGATGTTTAAAGTACTGGAGTAGAAGTACAAGTACTATGTAAAAAAAAAATTTACTTGAGTAAAGGTAGAAGTATTCTTTCAACACCATACTTAAGTGGAAGTACGGAAGTACTCAATTTTTTTGGTACTTAAGTATTGCAAGTAGAAGTATTTCAAAAATTGCTCCTCAAGTATCGAAAGTAAAAGTACAAGTACTGTGTATATTTAAAAAAAGGCAGTCAAAAGTTTGATAGATATTGTTTATATTATTTCAAACGTGTGAAAGGCCATACAGGTGTTTACAAAAACAGAAAACTACATCTGCATTAGCAATCAACAGGTCTTCATCTACTATTTATTATTCCAGTCAGAATCCTGAGCTGAGCCTTTATGTTAACATGTAGCATACAGCTAGCCAGCTAGGTTAGCTTTAGCTAACGTTATCATACAGCTATCCAGCTAGGTTAGCTTTAGCTAACGTTATTATACAGCTAGCCAGCTAGGTTAGCTTTAGTTAACGTTATCATACAGCTAGCCAGCTAGCTTAGCTTTAGCTAACGTTATCATACAGCTAGCCAGCTAGCTTAGCTTTAGTTAACGTTATCATACAGCTAACCAGCTAGGTTAGCTTTAGCTAACGTTAGTTGCTACGTCCTGAGTGAACAGGGAGAACTGAACTAGCGCTTATTTACTAGTTTATATGTCATTGTATTTTTTTAATTTACCTTGATATGCTTCTTCAGATTAAATGGACAATATTTGAAGGCCATAATTAACAATCTTTCGGGAGGCTTTTTTTAATAGGCTAATAGGAGTAGGGGAAAAAATATCTACTCCAATAAAGTACAGATACTGCATTTTGGTACTTAAGTACAGTACTTAAGTAGTTCTACTTTGTTACTGAACATCTCTGGTCCCCACTGATATCTGGAGGGTCTTTCTGGCTGTTTCAGAACTGCTTTAGGGAATTGGGCCCTGTGAGGATACTGAGCTACCTCAAACTCAGCTCCTTTGCCTTATACGATACTATCTCCCCCCCCCCTCCTCCTCTTCCTACATCTCTCCCACCAGGGTATCCGTTTTGACCCCGAAAGTCCCCAGACCCTGCGCTTAGAGTTTGCTAAAGCCAACACGAAGATGGCAAAGAGTAAGCTGATGGCCACACCGAACCCCACAAATATCCACCCCGCTCTAGGAGCTCACTTCATTGCACGGGACCCATGTAAGTTTTATTACGGCTGCTCCACTATAGGCTCTCATCCACTCTCATCCAGCTCAGTGACCCGTGTTGCCTCGTATTTCTCTTATAAATCTTTAGATATGACGGTACAGTGGGAGAAATAAGTATTTGACCCCTTGCTGATTTTGCAGGTTTGCCATCTTGCAAAGAATGCAACGATCTATAACTTTAATCATATGTACATTCTAACAGTGAAAGACAGAATCCCAAAGAAAATTCCAGAAAATCACATGAATTTATAAAAATTGATAACTATCTGAGGAGGAAAAATACGCATTCTTTGTAAGTGGGCAAACCTGCAAAATCAGCAAGGGGTTCAATACTTATTTCCCCCACTGTATTTCTCTTATAAATATTTAGATATGACAGTACAGTGGGGGAAATAAGTATTTGACCCCTTGCTGATTTTGCAGGTTTGCCCACTTGCAAAGAATGCAACGATCTATAACTTTAATCATATGTACATTCTAACAGTGAGAGACAGAATCCCAAAGAAAATTCCAGAAAATCACATGAATTTATAAAAATTGATAACCATCAGATGAGGAAAAATAGGCGTTCTTTGTAAGTGGGCAAACCTGCAAAATCGGCAAGGGGTCAAATACTTATTTCCCCGACTGTATATTGAGCCAGGCAAAGATTTGAAACGGTTTCTAACAAAATGAGAACTAACTCACCTCCACATGCATGCGTCATCTGGATTCTGTAGAGATCCACTTTGCCTCTATCCAGCTAGGAAATTCTACTTTATTTTTTGTTTTGTTTTTTGTCGGTGGTGGCATTTCTCCTCTTTGCCCAAACATCTGATGGATTTACTGGGTTCAGACAGGTGGTGGTAGACGGGATTAGGGATCTGATTTACTTTCATGGTGGCAGAACGCCTGAAAACGGAGCTGGCTGCCTTTGAGGAAACTTGAAATTATACCATATTTCAATACTTTTATTTTTTTATTTTTACTGTTAAGACAGTTTGTATACTTGGAACAGGAACTTATTTTTTAAGCAAAATCATTTCAGTGTTGAAAGGTGTTTTCCAGTTTCAAACAGACTTCATTTTGAAGGACTTTGAGTCTAGTTTTGAGGCAGTTGGTATCAAAGTAATGAGATCTGTCAATTTATAGTTTGAGCTGTTTCTCAAATAATCCAAAGCCAAATCTGGTCCAACTGTGCCCATTTAATTAATAACTGTAATTTTAGTCGCAAGTAAATTCAATTTTTCTTTTTGTGGAAAATTGCTGGCATGTTATCACAGTTTTAGGGGAAAATAAGCGACTGCATTTACATTTTTTTTCTTTCTTGATCCTTGGAAACTTGAAATTATACCAAATTTCAATACTTTCTTGCCGTTAAGACAGTTTGTATACTTGGAACAGGAACTTAATTTATTTAAAAAATCATTTCAAGGTTGAAAAGTGTTTGGACTTTGAGTCTAGTTTTGAGACAGTTGGCATCAAAGTAATGAGATCTGTCAATTTATAGTTAGAGTTGTGTCTCAAGTTAATTCAAAGCCAAATCTGGTCCAACTGTACCCATTTAATTATTTTTTAAGTACAAACTGTAATTTTAGTAAATTAAATTCAAATTTGTATTTAATTATTTTTTTCAAATATTTAATATCAAAGTTTGCTGCATGTAATCACACAGTTTTGGGGAAAATGTGCCTCTCTGTGCACATTTCTTTTTCTCTTTGATCCAGGCCAGAACAGTATGAACATGCATGTATTGACATGATCACCACCACTTATTTAGACCTATATATACATATAGTTACCTTTGCTGATTTACAGGTTTGCCCACTTACAAAGGATGCTTGTTTTTATTCATCAGATGTTATAAATTTTTATAACTTCATATGATGTGATTTTCTTGAATTTTCTTTGGGATTCTGTCTCTCACTGTTAGAATGTACATATGATTAAAGTTATAGATCGTTGCATTCTTTGTAAGTGGAAAAACCGGCAAAATCAGCAAGGGGTCAAATACTTATTTCCCCCACTGTATATATATGTGTGTATATGTATGTGTATAGACATGTATATGCTTTTGTTTTATTTATGGAGCCAGTAACACAAATAACTTCCCTCTGGGATTATCAAACCATTCCTTACTCTGAAACGGCTCAGTCATCCCTCCGTTTACCCTTTACCCCCCCCACCCTGTTCTCCTGCAGATGATCTGACCGGGGCAGCTCTGATCCCGGCCTCCCCGGATGCCTGGACCCCGTACCCCCTCTACACCACGGAGCTGACCCCCGGCCTCCCCCACGCCGCCTTCAGCTACCCGGCGGCCGCCGCCGCCGCCGCCGCCGCCGCCGCGCTGCACGCCCAGGTGAGGGACCCCCCGGTGTGTGTCCATCTTTGTTTTTATTAACCTTATCCAAGATGGCGCCGCAGAAGGCCGCCACGGTGGTTTGGTGCGCATTATTTTGTTTTATTTTGTCTTTTTACCCTGTTTAAAGATTGTATTTTTCAGTTTTATCATTCTGCCCTATATCTTTATTTTTACTTTTTATTCTTGCTTCTCATAGAAGTGTTGTGTTGTGCACTAAACACCAAGGCAAATTCCTTGTAAGTCTGAAAACCTACTTGGCAATAAACCTGATTCTGATTCTGATTAACATACCCTGTAGTGGCACTCTGCGTCTCAAAAGTTCGTCGTACCACAGTTTGTACCACAGTTTGTCTTAACCTCCTGAGACCCTGTGTCGTCATAAGTGGACGTTGCATTTTTGTCTCTCTTTACCATGATACTTCTTTTTTTCTTTCAGCTTTGACCTCTTGGCCTCATAGCAGATGCTATCAGACACTGTTTGAAATCTAAAGTAAAATGGTTTTATACATTTCCATCCAATCATGTTCTTATTGTGTAATAGAAAAACTGTAAATGAGTCAATGGGACTGTCAGAACAAAATTGTAAAAACATTTAATTAAATATGTATCTCATATATCTTTAAAAAAAAAACTAAAATGCATGCCAAATAAAAGCTCGGGTCTTAGGAGGTTAACAACCAATATTTGAATCACTCGACTGAAACCAAGTCTTCTTTTATGATTTTTACTTAAAGAACTCAAAAAAGTACACTTCACTTCACTTTTCACTTTATTTTGGTAAATTTGGTAAATTGTCCACATTAAACACAAGAAACAACAAAAGAAAATAACAATAGACAAACCCACAGTTTACCAAAAAAGGAATAGGCCGAAGCAAAGCTTATTCTTGCCTACCCTATTTTTTTTACCTTACAACCAGGATTTCTACAAATTCAGATTACATAGTACATATATAGATCTACTTAAGAACGTAAGATTTTATAATATTACATTTTAAAGCTCTTTTAAAGTTCACCAAGAAAGGACATAACTTAAATTCATCATTTAATTCATTCCAGTGACCAGTACACTTGCAGAAAAGATGAAAGGCTCGGTACAGATCGGTCAAAAAATTGTGCTGCTTCCACCGTATCGAAATGCAATCTGAACTCAAACGTGCATACGGGCAATATTAATGTTACGCATTACGTATTGGAAGCCAAAATTACTTTTCACAATAAAAACATCCTTTTAAATTAACTAAGTTATACATTCTAGTAAATATTCTCATCATGAATTTCTTAAAAGTAAATTAAGCATATTTATACATTTTTAATCTAAATTATTATTCTATATGAACTCCCCAATAACTGGCTCTTACATACCCTGACATTATAAAGGCAGCCTTCAGACACACAACCAATCTGGTCAACTTTGGCATTGGTGAAATACAGTGGGGGAAATGGGTATTTGACCCCTTGCTGATTTTTGCAGGTTTGCCCACTTACAAAGAATGCTTATTTTTCCTCATCAGATGGTTATCAATTTTTATAAATTCATATGATGTGATTTTCTGGAATTTTCTTTGGGATTCTGTCTTTCACTGTTAGAATGTACATATGATTAAAGTTATAGATCGTTGCATTCTTTGTACAGTGGGGGAAATAGGTATTTGACCCCTTGCTGATTTTGCAGGTTTGCCCACTTATGTTTACGTTTATGCAGACGCTTTTATCCAAAATCTTGTATAAGTTTAAAATCTGTTCATTGACCATTGCAGTTAAAGCTTTGCAGGTTGGTAATGAATCTCTTTCTAATTAAATATTATCTTAAAAGCATTTAAATGCAAATTTGGATTATTTTTTTGGTCTGAGAAAATCTTTACATTTAAACTAAATAAAATGGTCTATGTAATGTTTATGTTTATGCATTTGGCAGACGCTTTTATCCAAAGCGACTTACAGAGTAGACACAATATTACATTTCTCATCACTATGACGATAAGCTATACAGAGGAGAAACACTGATCAGAGTCTAACAGTGAAAGACAGAATCCCAAAGAAAATTCCAGAAAATCACATCATATGAATTTATAAAAATTGATAACCATCTGATTAGGAAAAATAAGCATTCTTTGTAAGTGGGCAAACCTGCAAAATCAGCAAGGGGTCAAAAACTTATTTCCCCCACTGTACCCTGACATTACAGGCAGCCTTCAGATTCACAACCAATCTGGTCAACTTTTTCATTAGTGAAATAAATAGTATTCTAGTTTTTGTCCTTCATTAACAATAGTTGAGGACTATATGAGTTAAACTCAACCAGGTGGTATTCAGGACACAGAAAAGTTTACTTTAGAGGTTCTGGTGGTTCTGAAATGGTCCTAGTGGTCCTATGAGGTATTACAACAACAGCTTTAAGGTGTGTTCCTAAACTCTGGGGTCAGGGCCGAGTTTCTGGCTGCACAGTGTGTGCCCAGTCTTCATTTTTAAAACCGATAGCAGAGTGGAAGCTAAAAGTTATGTTGTGATCTGTTCTTTAGAAAAGGAAAACGTCCTGAGTCATCCCCTGTCGTCAGAAGGGAGATTTTGGGTTTGTGGATGTCGATTGGAGTTAAATTCCTGTCTGACTTTAGTCCTGCTGTTGTGCACACAGAGGTGCATCTTTACCCCTTTTTATTTAATTTTATGTTCTACTGGAGCTCTGATCTTCACTCTTTTGGTGTTCAGGAGGGTAGAAAGGGTTCTTTATTCTCATATTCTGCAGTGATTTGGTTTAGAACATGAACTATATAAGTAAGTTTGATTAAAACTTTAGCAAAAAGATTATTCAAAATTTAAATTCACAGTAGATGTGGTGATACTCTTAACCTTAGTATGTGTCTAAACTACTTTTTCAGTATATTTGTCTGGTTTGCAAATGAAAAAACGGGCTTATAATTAATAATTTAAATGACATTATCAGCTAACTGGGGCCTAAACGCTCCAGCAATAGCGCAGCTAAAAGCAAAGGAGTGGGCAGGACTTTAGCTAACAATGGAAAATATTTCTCTAGTTGGGTCATTTAAAGTTCATTGTCTGCTCGCTTCCTCCTGTTGGAGCTCTGGGGAGTGCAGCTCTTACATCGGTTGTTTCTCCTGGCACAGGCGGTTAAGGAATGTCAGGTATTTGCTTTGAGAAATTGTCAAGAGTCGACTGTCTTTTCTGGAGGTGCCAACTGAGCATCCACCTTCCTGTTGGAACATAAACTGGCTGGATATTCACAGAGAGGGGGGAGTGGGGGGTGGGGAGGGATTTTAATTGCATTCTGATGAAAGATTCCCCAATGCTCTGAAACTGTGGGCCTTCTGTCTCCGGAGATATTTGGGGCCGTAATGTTTGCTGTCACATCTGATAAGAACACATGAAACTGTTCAACTGTGCTGTTAGACTTAGACTTCCTTTATTGTCATTGTACAAAAAAACACAAGATGAATCTTCAAAATCAACGAAATGTCGATTACTTGGCTACCAGTGTGACAGAGCTAAGACCTTATTCCTACTTAATAAATATGTTTTCTGTAACTAAGAGCTAGATACAGTGGGGGAAATAAGTATTTGACCCCTTGCTGATTTTGCAGGTTTGCCCACTTACAAAGAATGCAACGATCTATAACTTTAATCATATGTACATTCTAACAGTGAAGACAGAATCCCAAAGAAAACTCCAGAAAATCACATCATATGAATTTATAAAAAAATTGATAACCATCTGATGAGGAAAAATAAGCATTCTTTGTAAGTGGGCAAACCTGCAAAATCAGCAAGGGGTCAAATACTTATTTCCCCCACTGTATATACAGGGTAAGAGCATATATATACTTATTATTGCACAGTTATTACGAAAGAAACATCAATGAATATTGCACTGAGTTGATTGCAAAAAGAAACAATTGTTGTGGCTTATCTGTTAGTCACAGGTAGAGAAAGAAAGAAAGAGAGAAAGAGAACCAGCCCCCTCACTTTGTGGAAATGTTTAACGCACAACTCTCCACATTTCCGTGCCCATTAATTACTCGTTAATTGTCAATGAGCAGCTATGTGCCCCGGATTCCCCTGGCTTCACTGAGCAGGATTTAAAGGGCCAGTCCTCCTAAAAACCTGCCCGTAAACGCATGTGTCAGAGTGTGATTGGATAAAAATCTGTGGAGCGACGGGTTGAAGCTCTGAATCCTGGTGTTGGTCTGGTGAACATGACTATGTTTGTGTTTCTTTAGATGCGCTGGTACCCTACTCCCTCCGAGACTTCCCAGCCTGGATGGAAGTCACGGCAGTTTTGTTAGATATTTAGTGAGTAATCTTTGGTTTTTAGATATGCTAAACCCCTTCGTTAATCTTCTACTAACCTGACGTCATGCAGATTGAAAGCAGCAGTGGTAAAACGTTAAACAGGAATATGTCAGAGGGGAATTTCTGAACTGATTGGGCATTAGAGGGCAGGGCTGGTTATATTTTATATTAATTAGCTGGAATAAAAAGGAAAAACCCATAACATCTTTGTTCCCTTAACACTTCTGTGACTTGACCTCAGTATAGTTCACTTAAAATAAATATTTTAAAAGGACAATGGAAATGCAGTTGTGATTTTTAGATTTTCCAAAACAGCTGGACACTTAAATAATAAATAAAATAAAAAAATTATTCAAACTCATCCTATTTTATGTAAACCTTTCTCCTGGTTTATTCCATTTGGTGCAAAACTTTACAGTAGCAATGGAGAACATATTGCCTTATATCAACAGTTGGTGGTTTTACATTTTTGGTTGGCATTAGATTATTTTCAGAGGGTGGATAATTCATACTGTTTAGTTTTGGGGGGTTTTGCTAAGAAAATTGGCTAAAATCAGCAGACTGGGCTAATGATTGGGCTAATGTACATTTTAACATTTTTTTGTAGTAATGAGTCATTAAGTATTCTCCCCCTCCACATAATGCAGCATTTTTGCTATTCAGTCCCTTTTTTTTGTGTAAATGAACTGGACAGTCCAGACCTGATTCCCCAGGATTAATGCAGAAAGCTTTTGGAGAGGGTTGGTTAAACAGAGCTGCTGTAAAGGTTTTTATGCATCAAATGTGTTAATCCACAGCTGAAAATGTCCCCAAAAATGTACCGTTTACTGTCTTTGCGCCATGTTTAAAAGTTAAATGTCCAGCAGTTTTAGGAAATCAATTTGTCTTTAAAAGTTTTTATACAGTCTGAGTCAGATGAATGAATGAGTTGCATTTGACTTTGTCCTTAAATATCTTTTTGTCTTATTCAAAGGAATTATTTACTAGTTTTTCTAAATGAATTTTCTGTTTTTCCTTCTTCAGGTCTCTGGAAACCACACCTTTATCCAACTGAAGTGAGGTTTGCCAAGCTCTTCATTAACTTAATCAGGTTTATTTAATGGACAAATGTGCTTTATTATAAACAAACAGTATTTATATCTCCTCCCGATTGTCTCTGGGGGGAGTTGGAGTTGAAACCATCTTGCTGTCGACAATCGCGGTACCATTAGCACTTAAAAAAAAAAAAAAAAAAAAAAACGATGCAAATCTTAATTAAATTCCACGGATCATAACTGCTGAGGAAAATTGACATATTGACGTTACTGTCGTTAAGCTAGTCTCTCCGCTGCTCTGGGGGGGAATTTAGAAGTTAAGTCATTGCATGTTGAAGTCTTTTTGGCATGAATTTAGACCGCAGGTTTCTGTGTATCCTAATTTTCTTAGGTGTTTGTGTTGCCTCTTGACCTAGACCGCGACATGTTTTTGTTTTCCTGTAGAGCCTTGGTCTTACCTCTGTGAAAGCTAGGCTGTTGTGTAAATGGCTTATCTTGCATGGACCTTGTGAATGCATCCCTACGTTCAGACAATCCCAGGCCTCATGATCATATCAGTGTCGGTCATTATTTGAGCAAGAAAAAGTACAAATTTTTTGTGCTTTTTTTGTTGCGTAATGTATATTTATGCACTTTCGTGCAACTAAATAATGAACCTCTATAAGTTGGATGTTTAGTCGTCTCTTGTGTTTTTGGTGTTAATTTTTTGATCCTATAATCCTGTTGAAGTAGTTTTAAAGAAAAGTGCAATTTGTTTAAACGGGAAGTGGGCATCTGTCGTCAAAAGTATTGAGCGTGGCTTGTGCCATTCTGCTAAAATGAGATTGCTGTATAACAATCTTTCAGAATGTGAAACTGGACTACAAACGAAAAGGGTTGCTTTTTTTGGGGGGAAGGGGAGGGGGCATTTTGAAACGGGAGGCAGGATTGGACTGATGGAAGAATTTAGTTTGTGGTTTAGAACATGTTTGTCTTTGTATCTGCTGTGCATAAGATGTTAAGAAATAATCCCATCTTATGAATAAAAGAAGTGAATGCATCCTTGTGTTGGGCTTCTGTCATTTTTCCCTCCAACATAACGGCAACCAGTCACATTTCAAATTTTTCTTATTTCCTACTGTGATTTTTATTATTTTTATGATCTGTTTATAATGTAATATAATTTCTTTATATGAAGACCCCAGGAAGACTAGTGGCCATTTATTTGGCAGCTAATGGGGATCCTAATAAAACTAAACTAAATTTAAAGGCTCGATTTTGTAGACTCGACTCAATGAATGGAAGTCCGAACATCAGATGTCGGTATCAATAATTCATGCCAACTTTTTCATTTGTGACGCACCACTGCTTTGGTCCGTTTGCATCATGTGTGGAGCCGACCTCTTGAGCTCATAAGGAGCTGTGCCCAGCCACCCGTAATTCATCCTCCAGGGACTCTAAAGTGTTTTAAGTGTTCGTTCTCAGTGAAACCAGCTGCTTAACTGAAGTGGTGACAATGCTGGAGGCCAGCTGTAAACATTTGTCCACGTTGCAATAATTGGATTACACTATGAACTGGGTTCTTATCGGATGTTAGACGAGTTGATGCAATAATCATGGCAACTTCATCAGTGTTTTTATTTATTTTCGTAAATCGGTAAATGTGAGTTTAGACAACTGGTAGTTTAGACAAAATCTTGTATAGGTTTAAAATCTGTTCACTGACCACTGCAGTTAAAGCTTTGCAAGTTGGTAATGAAGCAAATCTGTCACTTGATGATCTCTTTCTGATCCAATATTAGCTTAAATGTATTTAAATGCAAATTTGGATTATTTTATTTTTTTGTCTGGGAAAACCATTACATTTAAGATAAGTAAGAGGAGCTCACAGTGGAAACTGTCGAGTGCCCAAACGCAAAACCTCATTAGGACAATCAGCTTTCACTGTACAAGGCACCAAAACCTGGAATACATTACCTGCAGAACTGAAGGGAGAGTCAAACTGGGTCCTTTTTAAACATAAACTTAAAGACTTTTTATTGAGAGGTCAGACATGTGGACATTAATAATCTGACTGTCTTGATCTTGTATTTGTCATGTTTTAGTGTGTGATTTGTTCTGTTGTGTACAGTCACTGTTTTGTGTAAAAGCATAACTGCGGACAGGCATTGAGAATTAGCCTTAGCTAAAATGTTGTAATGTGTGACATGTTTCATGAAACATACTTGTCCCTATCAAATAAACGAATAAATAAAATGGTCTATATAAGATGAAAACCCAAGTTGATGGCACACTAGAAGCATATGGTCCCTTAAGAGGAAGCCATTTGCCCTTCCTGGAGAAACGGGTCATTTAACATCACTTTCACACAGAATATTCGGATTGACATGAAATCAATACAGATCCTGAAGATGGAAAAGCTGCAGACTGGAAGGCCGTGAGGTTTGTTTGCACATACAGAAACTACTGGCATCCCAATCCTGTAAAAATCTGAACAGAAACTGCTCCTATGTAGTTTTTTTCTTTTTCCCCCCATCACCTTGGAATTGTTAAGCTAAAAGCATTATTAAAAAGCCATCTTTTACTCTATTTATGTGACAGAAATAGCACCATCCTTACCAAAGTAAGGACTTTTTTGTTTAAATTATACCTTTTTACTTATTTTTATAATAAAATTTCAATCAGATGCAATGGCATTTTTTATGAAAATTAATTTTCAATCATTTATCTCTACAAAAAATGCTTGTCATATTGATGGAAAGTGATTCAATTAATTACATTTAGGAATTTTGTATGCGCTTGTGACCATTAGTTTGTATGTTTTAGAGAAAGGTTGTTGGGTTTGTTTTAGCATTAATATTTAAACTGTACATAAGCTAACTAAATTATGTGATTGTAAACAATAAAACATCTTTGCCCTAACCAGGAGTCTTTTAATTATTCCACTTTGATAAAAGAGCTGAGAAAAGGCTGCTGATATAGAGGAAGTGTTCCAGTAGATGGATCATTTATCAATACAGGACTTTGGCGCCCTCTGCTGGTCAAACATCTACAAGACAAGATAATCAGAATCAGAAATACTTTAATAATCCCAGAGGGAAATTATTTTTGTTACCAACTCCATATATACAACAGCATATATATACAATATTCCACACAAAATATAAATACATTTATAGATATGTAACTATATGTGTATATACATATAATGTATATTATACATCTTAATATGTATATTTTTAAACCCAACAAGTTTGTCTCTTGGCATATGATGTCTAGCTATCCCTCCCAAAGTGTATCCTTATTTTGGGGTTGTATGACGATGAACCTACAATTGTGACTAAGTTGTTTATTTATGGAAAACTTCATATTGTCAACATTTGCGTCATGTACCTTTAATGCATGGTTGTATCATTGCTCTGCAAAAATGATAAAAGTCTAAGTTCTAAAAAAAAAATATGTATATTTTTACACCTAAAATAAGTGATAATGATAGTATGAGAAAACTAAATAAACTAAATAAATTAGTAAGAATATAGAAGAAGAGGGGCAGCTCAGCCCTCCGGGGAAGGAGGACTTCTACAAATAAAAGCCTCTTATTCTGCTCTGCTCTCAAAAGCTGCATGACTTCATTTCAGATGACCCGTTTTGCTTTCCCTTTTTAGCCTAGTTCATACATAAACACAAAAAAGTTATCCACATTTATATATCGCACGGTTAAAAGCTTCCAATAGCCAGTCTGTTTAAAACATGGGCCAAAACAAAAGCATTTATATCTGCAGCAACTCAATGAATTTCATTGTGAATTGTCTTGTATTATTTCTTGTCCTCACTGAACAAGTTCACAGGAAAAATGTCTTCACCCTGATTTTCACCTCCTAAATCTCCCACAAGTTCTTAAAGAAATTTAGTTATCCATTAATTTGACAAATCCTCTATTAGTCTCTGATCCACAATGTTTAATCCAAACATATTTTTAA